CCTCTCCATCCATATTGGTGAGGATAAGTGCCCCTCCTGAGAAAGCTCATTTAACCACAAAGGGTCCTTCGTAGTTTGCTGCCCATTTTCCAATTTTATCCTTCTGGGCTGGAAGTAGTTTCTTTATCACTAGATCCCTTTCTTGATAATTGTGAGGGTGGACCTTTTTATCATAAGCCTTTTTTATCTTCTTTTGATAGGTTTGTCCATGACATATAGCATTCAGTCGTTTTTCATCGATAAGGTTTAATTGATCGTATCGACTTTGAACCCATTCGGCTTCTGTTAATTTTGCTTCCATTATAATTCGCAAGGAAGGTATTTCGACCTCTATTGGTAATGTTAGAAATGTAGGCTGAGATCAAGAGGGAGGGTGAATTGATCTTTGAAAGATTTTCGCAATTAACAGATTATCTATTTCAAAGATTAAGTATTCTGACCAATTGTTCAATTACACAGCAAGCAATAAAAAATAAATGCAGTTACAAAATTAAAGAAGAGAAAGGTTTAGAAAGATATCACCAAGGTTTATACTGGTTCACCCAATCCCAGGGCTACATCCAGTCTCCAGCCAAATTCCAGCTGGGTTCCACTAGATTGAATGTTTTACAGATTACAACCTTAACCTCACACTCAATCTACCACAAGAACCACAATTCCAGTTCCTGCACCTAACCTTTCACCAAGAACCAAATTCCAGTTCTTGACCAACCCTGCAGCCAAATTCCAGCTACAGAAACCAATGCCCACAATTCTAGGCACCCGCAATACAGTAAAAGAAAGTAAAGAAACAAATAGAAGAAACTAAGAACGCTCAAACCAGTTTTATGCAGTTCTGCAAGATGTGTTTCTTCTTCAAAAGAATGCAATTTTGCCTCAAGAAAGAACTTTGATGAACTTCACAAAAACAAGCGTGATTCTCTCTTGAAAGTAGTGCTTTTGATTGCTTGATTGATTGCTAAAAGATATGTAAAAGATCTGTGTTTAAAAAGGTAAAACAACTCTGTTTATATAGAAGATTTTCAAATCTGCTGGTTTAATTAATCTGTTAAAATAATCTTTTAATCCATTAAACCGTTCTTGATTATTTTCCAAATTTGTTTTAACTGATACGACAATGTTTATATTAATTAAAACTGTTTACAAAAAATCTTCCAAACTGTTTTAATCCATTGTTTCGACTTTCAATCGATTAAAATACTGCAAAACATTCTTATAAACTTTTCCAAGTGATTTTAACTGATAAAAATATGTTTTAATTGATTAAAAAGCTGTGTAGAAATTCTCTTAAGTTGTTTTAATCGATTGAAACGTAATTTAATCGATTAAAATAATTCTGATCGGTCATAACTCAATTCTGATCGATCATATCTGGTTCTGATCGGTCATAAAACCATTCTGATCAGTCATCTGTTATACGAAGTGGTTTTAATCGATTATTTCAAAGTTATATCGATTAAAATACTGCCAGAACACTTCCCTGAACATTTTAAGTGATTTTAATTGGTTATTTCAAAATTGTATCAGTTAAAATGCTGACAGAAGGTTTTCAAAACTTCCTTTAATGAAAACAATCAGTTATTTCGAAATTATATCAGTTAAAAACCTGTTACAAAAGTATTAAGAACATTTTAGTTGATAAAGTTTATATGCTATTAGTTAAAATAGTTGGTTAAGAAAACTTTTATCAAAATACTTTGTTTTTAACCGTTTAAACATTTTTTAGAGGCATTTGCAAAATCTTTTAAATGAAGAAACCTCATGTAGTAGAAAGATAAAAATGATTATACCTAAGCAGAGCTGCAGACACACTAATCCCTCTACTCTTTTATCTAAGAGACTTTTGACTGCTACAAAGTTGTCTTTGACTTCATTTTTGACTTCATCAAATCAACAAGATCTTTGCCAAAGTAATTCAATAAGATCTTCATTACTTTCAGGTAATACGCCCTCCATACCATATACAAGGGAGAATGGAGTAGCTCCTGCTGAGGTCCGTACAGACGTTCGATAACCATGAAGAGCAAAAGGCAACATTTCATGCCAATCCTTATAGGTCTTAACCATCTTTTGAACAATCCTTTTGATGTTTTTATTGGCCGCTTCCACTGCGCCATTCATTTTGGGCCGATAAGGAGAAGAATTATGGTGTTGAATTTTGAAGTCCTGGCATAGTTCTTCCATCATCTTATTATTCAGGTTGGTTCCATTATCAGTAATAAGACGATGTGGGATGCCATATCGACATATGATATTTTTCTTAACAAAGGTGACCACTACCTTTTTAGTCACATGTGCATAAGATGCAGCTTCTACCCACTTAGTGAAGTAATCGATAACCACCAAAATGAATCGATGGCCATTGGATGCCTTAGGCTCAATAGGTCCGATAACATCCATGCCCCACATAGCGAATGGCCAAGGGATAGCCATAACATTGAGAGGTACCGGTGGAACATGTACATTGTCTGCATGTACCTAGCACTTGTGACATTTTCTGGCATACTGATGACAGTCATTTTCCATTGTGGACCAAAAATATCCTGCCCTGAGGATTTTCCTAGCCATGATATGCCCTGGTGCATGAGTCCCAAAGATTCCTTCATGTATTTCTTTAATCAACACTTGAGCTTCTTCGAGATTGACGCATCTTAACAGAGTAGAATCAAAATTCTTTTTATAAAGGGTTTCTCCTATCAACATAAACCCTATGGCCCTTTTCCGAATGTTCCTTTTATCATTGTCACTGATTCCCTCGGGGTATTCACCCTTTGTCAAGTATCGCCTTATGTCATGATACCAAGGGGTTTTATATTTTTCACTGTCCACCATCATACAAAAGGCTTGTTTGTCGTGCCTTTTGACTTGGATGATGGCATCTCATGTTCTTGTCCTAATGCGAACATGGATGACAATGTTGCACGTGCATCTGCAATCTGGTTATCTTCCCGAGGAATGTATTCGAAACTAATATTTTCCATTTTTGAAGTCATATTACAGATTTGCTCTAGATAAGGGATTAATTTGGAATTTCTAGTTTCCCATTCACCTTTGAGTTGGTAAATGACAAGGGATGAATCACCGAATACTTTGAGTCTGGTCACCCCATGATCCAGAGCTGCTTGAATACCTAGAGCACAGACTTCGTATTCCGCCATATTGTTCGTGCAATCAAAGTTTAGTCTGGTTGTTACTGGGATATACTTCTTTTCGGGAGATATTAAAATAGCTCCGATCCCATGACCCAGTAAGTTTGAAGCTCCATCTAAAAACATGATCCACTTATTATTTTCAAGTTCTTCATATTGGATGTGCATTATGTGCTCATCTGGAAAATCATCTTGGAGGGATTGATATTCTTCAGTTGGTCCATGTGCCAGGTAGTCTGCTAAAGGACTACCTTTGATAGCTTTCTGAGTGACATGAACAATGTCGAATTCTGAAAGGAGTACCTGCCACCTAGCTATTCTTCCGGTCAAGACGGGTTTTTCAAATAGATATTTGATTAGGTCCATTTTGGAAATCAACCAAATTGTATGTCTAGCCATATATTGTCGAAGGCGCTGAGTTGCCCACACCAATGCACAACATGTTTTTTCGAGTGGTATATAACGGGTCTCATAGTTTAGAAATTTCTTACTGAGGTAATATATGGCTTGTTCTTTCTTACCCGTATAATCTTGCTGACCGAGTACACATCCCATGGACTTGTCGAGTACTGAAAGGTAAAGAATCAGGGGCTTTCCTTCCACAGGTGGTACCAACACTGGAGGATTGGTTAGGCACATTTTGATCTTTTCAAAAGCTTGTTGACATTCATCATTCCAAACTTTCGGTTGATTTTTACGCAATAATTTGAAGATGGGCGTGCACTTGTTTGTTAATTGCGCAATGAATCGTGCAATATAGTTTATTCAGCTCAAAAACCCTCTAACTTTTTTTTCTGTTCTTGGTGGGGGCATTTCTACAATTGCCTTTATTTTATCAGGATCTACCTCAATTCCTTTTTTACTGACAATAAACCCAAGGAGTTTTCCTGATCATACTCCGAACGTACATTTAGCCAGATTAAGCTTGATCTGGTATTTCCGAAGCCGATTGAATAATTTCTTTAAGTATTGGAGGTGATCCGCCTCATTTTTGGACTTGGAGATCATATCATCCACATATACTTCGATTTCTTTATGGATCATATCGTGAAATAATGTTACCATAGCCCTTTGATAAGTAGCCTCTGCATTCTTGAGTCCAAAAGGCATTACTCTATAACAGAATGTACCCCACAACGTAATGAAGGAAGTTTTTTCTTGTAGACCCCTAATCTTGCCCGGCCTCATAATAAAGACCAGAAGACCTGCTATTCGAAGATGGATGAAGCCTAAGAAGCCACTAGGAGAGGCTATTAGGCCCCATACTAGGATAGGAGGGATTTTTGGCTCAAAAATAAGGATTTTCACCTTTTAAGGTCGAGACCGCCATCTCAGATTCGAGATCGTCGTCTCGCCTTGCACTAGTGCAGAATAGGACTTTTACGTCACCCAATTATCGTCGCATGCATGTTTATTCGACGTAAATAAAACGCGGTGGCAATTTTGTAAATATGGGACAAAAATTTTACGTCGCACATCCCAGTATGCGACGTAAAAAGCCTCTTTTACGTCGCACCTGGGAGGCGCGATGTAAAAGATGGACTTTTACGTCGCTTACTGGGGGCGCGACGTAAAAAGCCTTAGCTTTTTACCTTTGAGCTAACTACTCATTCTTTCTTCCAGTGCTGTGCATGACACGTTCATGTTCTTCTGTGCATGGCTTATTCCCGTTAGTGTTGGTTCCCACTCTACATGGCAGCCTCAATAGCCCTCGGAATCATTGCCATATCCTCAGCAATGCGTTCATCTGATTCCAAGAACTCAACACAAGAAGCCACGCCCATACCCCATGACCTCTCACTGAATGCTTCCAAGGCTCTCCGAAGAGCAGGGTTCATACTCATGGCAGACCTTCTCCACCACTCTCCTTCATTCTTCAAACCGCCCCAAAACTCAACCATCTTCGCCATCAAAGACTCAGCAATCAGAAACACCTCACATCCTCTTTGGTTCCTCAAAACCCTCCTCCTCTACCACACCACCACCTACAACCCCTTCTCCTTCCACGACCTCCTCAAGATGTCCCAAGGAACCTGCCTCACAACTCTCCTTCGCCACAAAAACATCTCCCTCACCAAAGTTGACCGTGCACGAAACTCCGTCGAGATTAACAACGTGTTAATATCAAACCCTAACATTTTCCTTGGAGAGCAACTAGTCGTGCATGGGGTTCTTGCACCCTTCTCTCCCTTCCACGCCCAAGACCTTCTTCAAAGGGGTTTGGATTTTTTATTCACTCTCCTCGCTTGTCTTTCCAACTCCTCCCATGCCTCCCTCTTTAAGAGTGGGGTTCAATGGAATCGCATTATTCGCTTGCTTCGTGCGAAAGGGTATGCTTCATTCTCAACAAGCATTACACTCTGTTCTTGATGAGATAAAGAAAGATTTTTCAGGTGGTGTAACTTTTGCTACCATCTTTGCTCCTCCCGACTTCACCTTACTTGACCCCTGCCCTTCAACTTTACTTGATAAAGCGGTGAAACTTCATATTCTACCTCAAGTTTTGCTACAAAGAACTCACTTCTTTGCCGGTTAGGACTCTCTTGAAGACGCTCGTGCTCGATGAGCATCTTGAAATTGATGGGATTCTCGGATTTCGTGACAGGCATGGTTGTTAATGGTGTTTAGATTGTGGCACTCGACATGATCACTTCGGAGAAGTTCGTGGTTCATGGGATTTCTAGAGCTTTCAAGATTGCTGAGTTTACCGTAATACAAAAATCGTTTGAACAATCATCTACGGATGATGATGATGATGATGATGATGTTGATGTCGGTGATATTCTCTTGCCTAAGAGGAAAACTCAAAACATATTTACTCGCTGAAAAGTCAATTAAAAATGAGAATGGATATTTTCAAGATATTGCATCAAGTGGAAAAGCCTTGCAAGTACATATGGGGATTCAAGTCGAAGGTATTCACATCATCATCTTTATATCACTTTGTTCCAATTCTCTATTTTTCTCGATAGTATATATCCATGCATTGGAACTTGAATTATTGTTTCCAAAAATGTCCAAACCAGCAAGTGGTTGATGATTTTAATTTACGCGTTCCAAAATGAGTGTCGCTATAATTGATTACGGAAAATTGCTTCTAAATTTTGAGTTATGGTGATGACTAGGAGTCTAAAATACTTTCAGTCTATAAATTGTTTTCTTATTTTGTTGTTTGAAAATATCCCTTAAAGAAGTTGACGTTGAATTGCAAGGAAAAGATGTAAAGGATGGTAAGGAACCACTATACCAATGTGATTTGAAGTCTATCCCACGCAAATTTAGTGTATCATATATGACATTTTTCCATCCTTAAGACTTCTCATTTGTACATTTCCTGTCTATAACATTGTGAATGAAAAATAAATAAAATGTAGACTATTCAATTGATCCAGCATTTGATCGAATATTATATACTTGCTGAATTTATCCGACCCATAAAGTTTCTTCTCGTCCTTGTTTAAATTCAGCTTGCAAGTTTCTTACTTCTTTTCTTCACCAGACTCAATTATGCGAAAAAGAGACTCGAAGAGTTAAACATTGATCAAGAATCGCTCATTGGTGTATTCTCTCGAAGAGGGATAAACATGATGTCGAAGAAAAAAACTTGAGAAAGATAGGTTGCTATGTTCTTCTTTTTTAATCCAAAACAATGTCAATTACAATATATGCTTTTTGATTAAGTCTGAAGACGTTCGTGTTTCTCCTGTAGGAGGTATCAGTTACTAAGAGCTTCTTAACAAGATATGCATGAAAGGAAGTGTTCAGTGTAATAAGCAAACTGACTCGTTTGAATGTGGTTACTATGTAATGTATTGGATGAGAGCCATAGTGCGGGTTTAATTGATTCTTGGACTGGAGGTAATTACTTTTAACATTAGTTAAGTTTATTTAACTTTATTCATGTTGCTTGCTTACAAGAGTCAAATTCATGTTTCGGTATTTCAAGATCCATCTCCATTACCGAGATCCGAGATTACGTAAATTAGAGAACAATGGGCAAAATATTTTGTTCAACAATTCTAGTACATTATTTTTTAAGTTCTTGTTCATATTATATTGTGTGTATTATGTAGTTTAGTTTAGTTTGTATAGGTAGCTTAGTTTGTATAGGTAGCTTAGTTTGTAATAGATTTTTTAGTTTGTATGTTTGTATTATATTGTCTTATTATGTAGTTTGAATTATATAATATTATATTTTTAATTTACTAGCTAAAGAAAACTGAACCTCTGGACTGTCTGGTTGTAATATTTGCAGGTTTTAGTTGTAAAACAGAATAAATAAACTCAATTTAAAAATAAAATAGTAAATTTACATCGCATATTGGTATATGCGACGTAAATTTTCTGTTTTTTTTAAATTGAAAAGGTTTTTACGTCTGTTTAGTGTAAATCTACGTCGGATCTTGATAACTGACGTAAATCTACGTCGGGCAAAAGATCCGACGTAAATTTACGTCTCCCGCTTTAACGTCGGACTTAAATACGACGTAAAAAGCCCTAAATACCTGACGTAAAAGCCCCTTTTTGCACTAGTGTTGCGTGAATGGCGAGACCACTGTCTCGTTTGGCGAGACGACCGTCTCGCCATTCCTGCAAGGCGAGACGGCCATCTCGATTGGCAAGACGGCCGTCTCGACCTTGTCAGACGAGACGGCCCGTCTCAATCTGACAGGCGCGAATCCCTATAAATAGGAGCATCATTCCCCTCATTTCACACAGTTCTTCCATCCTCTCTCTAGACTTTTCTTCAAATTCTCTTTCTAGAACCCCTCTGAAGCATTTCCGGAGTTTCTGAGAGTTTTCTAGAGTGTTTTATAGCGTTTTTGAGTGATTCCGGCGTTATAAAAGAGTGAAGGGCTGTCAAAAAGCACCCTAATTCCAAAAGATTAATAGAAAAGCTTGCTTCAGAGGTTTTCACTCTCTCTCTCTCTCTCTCTTTTTTTACTGCTTCAATTTTAATTACGCAATAGAAACTAGGGCCATGTAGTCATAATTTTAATTTTCGCAAAATAAAGGGTAAAAGCGTATTTTTCACCAGTTTATTTATTTATCCAAAGTAGCTAGCCCATCATAGGGAACCCGAAAGGGGCGTCGTAAGGGAACTAACACTTCCCTTACACGTAACTAACTCCCTTACCCAACTCTGGTTCTAATGACCAAAGTTGGTTTTTCGAAAACCAACGCCTTTTAACTCCTTTTCCGATGTTTCTGGTAAAAACGTCGGTGGCGACTCCAGAAGAACCCTTCAAAAACTAGTTCTTGGTTTAGCCCGGTTATCGGACAATCCAAGAACGCCCTTTCGAAAACTTCGCCCCTAGGTTCAACCTGGTTATCAGACAACCTAAAGGCGTTGTAACCACACCAATAAAAACGTGAAAAACGGAAAGTCAGAACCATCGCGTCGCTCTGACCGCCCTCGTTTTGACGGCGGCGACATTTCTCTATCTTCAACAGCCAATTTAATTTGGTTAAACCCTGCATATCCATCCATGAAAGAATAGAGAATATTCGTAGCGGTGTGATCTACCAACATATCAATATGTGGTAAGGGAAAATCATCTTTCAGACTTGCACGATTTAAATCCCTGTAATCTACGCTTACTCTAATTTGTAGCTTGATTCTTCAACTTTTTCTCTTCGTTTTGATATGCTGTGCGTCCAAATCGGACATCTCAGTCAAAAGATATGCCACTTTGAACATCTACCGCCCTTTTGTATGGGTGCATGCATAAATACATTCATTCTAGGGAGCACTAGATGTCCCTAAGACAATGGAGAAAGAGGCCCCGAGCACATTTGTGATCTAGGTGTGATGGTGATCCCCATTATACTTGTCAAATCTGTGATGGGGAAGGAACCATTACACCAATGTGGGTATGATACCCCACAAAGCGTAAGCTTTAAGGAGGATACCTAAGTCATTGTCTTAAGGAATATTCATCTCATAAATCATTCATCTTTTGACATTCTAGAAAGCGGCTGACATTCTTCATACCCTCATCCGCATAAAGAAAAAAAAACACAAAATCCCAAACACTATCATACATCATGTTAGAAAATAAAACATGATAATGTTTAGGAAAAAACAAACACTTGCATATATGCATCCACCAAACTTCATCCTCATAACATGCATCTAATAATAGACAATCGAAGAAGTGGACATTCCTCAATACCATGAAAAGAGGATTAGGGCATTCGCATGCCATGCACAGGAAGTCAAAAAGAAAATAAATAGAAATTATAATATGTCTATGGGTTCATTTAGGCTTCTCCACTTTAAAAAAAAATGTACTTCGAAATGTTACATTGAGGAATGTACACTGTCTAGATGAAATAAATAAAATTGTTTATTTTCATCATCTCAACCGTCTATTGCATTCATGAATTGCATTCACAAATTGCATTCATTCTCACTTTAATAATAATAAGATAATAAAAAGAAAGGATTAGTCGATGTGCTTTCCACAAATCGGAATAAGATGAAGAGCAAACATTTTGTCATCAAGTTTTCCCCAACGGTTGACCCGCCTAAGAAGGATAATAAGCCTCAACCATTGGTCATCCGAGTAAATAAAGGAGAGCGGGCAAGGACGCCATTGCGTTTGTTCACGCCTCATACGTCAAATAAAGTTGTACCATGGAGATACACAGAAATACCGCCCATTAACAAGGATATCTCCAGCATAGCTAGCATTGGGGGCAAAATTAGAAATGGAAGAATCTATTCCCCCAAGAAGTTGTAAGATGACGCTCCTACAAATAAAGAAAAAATAAAAAAGACCGAAGAAAAACAAAATCCAAAGAGGAAACTGAGTAGACTTTGGATTCACGACGCTAAGACAGTTCTCTCAATGCTCCGCCAAAGAGACAAACTCACGGTAGGCGATAAGCTGGTCACGGTTCGAGCTAAAACCGACATTCGGATCAGCAAGTCGTTTGCCCTACCTTGAATGGATGCGACTGAAAAGGACCTTTGAAATATATTTTACCAATATGAAAAGACTTCCCCAACAATATGAAGGTGACCCACATGATGAGAAAATATGGATATCGCCAAAACCAAGGGCGCATTAGAAACTCTCAAGGAATAAGGGAGCCACCAGATTTTAAAGACAATCCTTTGAAGCTTACCCTACAAAGGATCAAGCTGCATGGAGAAAAGGGAAGTCTTCCCTCCGCACCTTGAATCAGATTTTCCCATATAGAGGGGTTCAAGCATCAAAAGCGACTTTAGTCATTAGGTGTTCTCCTTTTGATTCTTAGGGTTTGTAAATCCAATGACTATTAGAGATTACTCCTCGGGGCTAGCCCGACCCCCGAGCATTGTAGGGAACACATTTCCCTATTAATTACAAAGAATGTCATTCTTACTATCTGCTTCTCTTCTTGCTATTAATGTCTAAACCTCATTAATAACCATGTTTAAGCAAACGTTTTTAGAACACGTCAAAGTAATCAAACTACGCCATTGACCAAAATAAAAGTCAAATCCATCACCACTGATTGACTAGAAGCACAAAATAAAGTTTTACCTCATCATAATAAAGTTGTGTTTGGCCAATGTTATGCAAAAAGAAAACAAAAATAAAAAGAAGCCCATAAAAGC